TGAGTTTTAACACATAAATAACTGAGACTCCATTCTCTCCATTCAGCTACTCACAAAATTCAACTTCAATAAGTTTCCAAGTAAGCACTCTGTAAAGGGTTAGGTTTCTCTTCAAATATAATCTCACAGAATAACTATTAAAATACAAGCAAAAAAAAAAAAAAAGAATTGCTGTTCCATGAGATAACAGGTTTCTTCTACTTGATTTATTTTGCACAAAGAATCCTAAATAGAAAATACCCAAAGTTAATAATGATGCTCTTGGTAGTCTAAACATATAAAGAGTAAAATTTTCCTAAGATTTTGTCACTTTCAGAGAACTTTATTAAACCATATTATGAAATAAAAATGCACAGAACTTTCCTACAAAACTTATTTCCCTTCCTCTAACTTCCTAATAGCCAAAGGTACTCTGGCTCCTTTTTATGTTTCGTTCTATTGGTGAAAGTTTTATAGTGTTTTCTAATTTTGTGTTAGGCATACTCAATCTTCATTATTCATGAATTTGCCTACTTGATAAAAATTATAACTCCAAAATCAATACCTGTGCCTTCTCAATCACTCACGGGCACATACACAGGAGAAAAAAAATTTAAGTTGCCTGACATGTAGAACAAGGCTCTGCCTTCTTGCTTCAGCTCTTATACTATAAACAAGGGTCTTTTTTGTGATCTATTTAAGTGCCAGCTATCTAGGTTTCCATTTTTGTGCTTTTTATTGGTGACTTTGTTTTTAAAGTGGCCACCAAACTCAAGTGCTGGGGGATAGTGTCCCTAAGTGCTAGAAGGCTATGATACACCTTATGGATAAAATGTGTGTAGATAAGCTTCATTCAGGTATGAGTTTTGTTGGCCATGAGCTCAATGTTTGTGACTCAGTAATACATAACATATCAAATAAGGTATCTTTAAACTGAAACAGGCATCAAAACAAGGTTATGTACTGACTGGCTGTTGTGACCAGATAAACACGGTGACCAGAGGCTTGCAGTAACCTAACCCTATATTTACTGCAAGAATAATGGCTCTAGGACACCTGGGTGGCTCAGTTGGTTAAGCAACTGCCTTTGGCTCAGGTCATGATCCTGGAGTCCCAGGATCGAGTCTTGCATCGGGCTCCCTGCTCAGCAGGGAGTCTGCTTCTCCCTCTGACTCTCCCCCCTTCTCATGCTCTCTCTCTCAATAAAATCTTTAAAAAACAAAAAAAAAGAATAATGGCTCTATATTTACTTAGTGTTTGCACAACTTTATAACATGTAACTGTTGTACATAACAACAGTAGACTGTATTAGGAAAGGGAGATTCTGGGATAGAGCACCATTCCTCCATCATTATAAATAAATCTCCAACATTATTTTTTAGTCAGCTTCCACTGAATACTTCCACAACATACTTCTAACAAGTTTATAGCTTTAAAAGACAATTTGTATGTAGAAAAGAATTTAAAATAAGCAATAACTTTTAACCTTCAAATAGCCTACTATTCAAATATCTACAACTTACAATCAAAATCAATACTGCCAAGCTCTCAGCAGATAACCTAATCTCCTACACATCTCTAAGGAAAATAAAAAATAAGAAAGGAACTCTTGCCCCTCAAATTATTTAAACCTGCACTTGCCCTGTAACTTTCCCTCTGTCTCCTTTGTTCCTGAGTCCCGGTTTCTTGGGAGGGCAGCTTTATATCTTATTGCTGAGTAACTCCCATCCCTAAGACCTACAAATACCAACTTACTTGGAGTTCCTCGTGCTTTTGCTACTTGACAGCTCCTTACATGCTATAAACACTGTTTAAGAGTACCATTCTCAATTCCAAAGCCTAAGTCGCAGGTATAATAAAGCATCTTGGAAACCATTCCTGCAAGGTCTTTACTCCCACAAGATGAAAAAACTTCCTTACTCTGTACCACTTTTATAACTAGTAGGTATTATGAATAGTGAACTCAATATATTTTTGCTGAACTTGTTCTTTAGAATTCAAACGGGTATCAACAAGATCTGAATCTGTTCAAATAAGACAGAGAATCAGTATAGTCCTGCAGATCAAAAAATAAAGGATGAATGCAACAGAACAGACCTATTAGTAGCTTTGACAAAATAAAGCATATGTTCTAGTCATAGTGGATCAAGATTGTCATCTTGGTATAAAAGAAAAAACTATCATTTTTTATATTAAGAAGAGTACATTTCACAATGCAAATATATATAGACTTTAATATATCTCCTATCTTTTTATAGCACAATTTCAATCTAATAATAATTCTCAAATTCCATTAAAACACCCATAACAATTAATAACATTTAAAAATTTTCCAATAAAATATTTAATTTAGAAAAGGAAGAATACTTTTAGGAGACTATATCAGAATTTTGAAATTTTTCTATTTTACCATTAAAGGAAGAGCTCCCAATTGTAAGTGATGAAGTCGTGGTGGTGCATGGTAATGGGCCAAGTGAGGATGCAGTGCTCCAGGCGTATAAGTAGCTGCAGTTACTCCAGCTTCAATTCCCAGTTCCCTGACAAAGGATGAAAACAAAGGATGACAAAGGATGGCTACCTTTTAGCCATCCTTATAGTGTCTTTATTATCAACAGAAATGGGGGAGTATATTTACATTTTTAAAAGTAATACAAAGTTTCTTAATTGGCACAGCTGAGAAAAAGATAATTTAGCTCCAAATAATTTCAAATTCATTTCAGCATTTAAAACTCAAAAATTCAATTTTGTGACCATGAGAAGCAAAGTATCTGTACTCAGTTTCACATCCTACAAAGGAAGGAAATATGATAAATGACCCTTAAGGTTCCTTCCAATCTAAAAGTCTGATTCTACTTGAGGATCATAAAAAATAGTTTCATTTTCTGGTTTATATGAATGTTACAGATGCTCCCAGGGCTTCTGTTTGTTGGATAGTGTCTGTGGGTTGTTGGCACCAAGATAATTAGAAGAACAAACACTTCTATACCTTATAAAGTAAGAATAAACAAAATTTTTAGAAAGAGTTAATTGGTAAATGCCAAATTTTCATTTACTTATTCTCATTTTATGTTTTGCCTCATAATGTCATTGTGGATCAAGGTCTCAATCTCTACCTACAGACAATGGATTCAGAAAGAAAAATTAATGCAAATGCTTCCATTTCTTTAAAAAAGACCACATGTCTAGGACACAGGCTCAATTTCCCTTGTCAATAAACAGGGGTTAGGAGTGGTAAAGCAAATTTGAGTACAAAGGTGGGGGAGTGGATAAGGAAGTTGTGAAAGATCCATTTAGGGATTTAACTTTGATGGCAGATATCCCTGAAAAACAAAAAGCTCTACTTCTGTTTGACATGGTTCTCTGCCCCAGAACTCAAGTTCCTCTTCCCACTGCAGGTTTCTATAACTTGCCCAGAGACAGTGCCTCACAGATAAGCTGGAATTCAGTTTCTCATCACCCTTCTGCATGGCATCCCACTACAAAGCATCTGTTCTGACATTTCTACCAGACTGCTGAGCGTAACTTTGAAATAAACAAGATACTGACCAGGCAGATCTCTCAGGAGCCTGTCGAGGATGTGAGGACATAGTCTGAGGCACATGAATATGATGCCCATGACCATAATTTGGGTGCATCCTATGTGGATGGGGTGGGGGCCGTTCATGTGCCCGCCTGGAAACACAGAACACAAAAAGACCACTGGAAATAATTGAATAATTGGTTATTTCTTAATGTAGAAAAAACAATCTAGTATTAATATTATAAACATCTATAAATTAGTAATAAAATTACTTTTATAAATTATAAAAAATAAAATTATGTAATGATTAATAAATCAAGAAACCATAACCCCACAAATCTCAGTGCTTATTACAATGCCTCCAAATTCAAATATCATCCAAGGAAAAAGGCAATTTTAACATTATCTTGTATACCTTCTTTATAGCAGCTATTTTAAGGAGAATAATGGGAAATGGATGGGAATAAAGCTTTAAAAATTAAACACCTCAGCAAATGCTAGGCACAAAGAAGTTATTTTATATAAACATATAAGGGAAGAAAACAAACTATTTTTTTTTGCTTTGCTTCTATATTGTAATGACATTCATTCATTTTAATGGATAAAACTTATTTTAAGAGAAAACACTTTTAACCTTGCGCATTTTTTAAACACATGCAAGTACATGTTAACGTATCTGGGAAACTGATATTAGCTCCATTCACATTCTTTATTCTGCATCCCAGATTATTATATTTTCTCTTTTTAGTCTAAAGTCAGCCAAATTTATAAATATAAACAGTCATAAAGTTCTAAACAAATGGCACTTAAAAAAACAAAACTATTCCAGGGATTCATTTTTATAGTCTAATCCCTAGTTTCTATCAGTTTCTCATGTATTTACAGATTTTGCATGTTTAAGCTTAATGATTTAAAACAAGTAATTTTCTCGATACGGGAAGATATGAATTTTAAATTGCCAACTTTCTATATAGAGTTACTATATTAGAATGCCAGTAATAGCCAGAGATTCTGGGAATAACCTTACATAACTAAAGAAGTAGTTACCCATGTGCTAGATCATTAATTAGATCAAGAGTTTTGCAAACAAAGAGTTTTGCAAACACATTCTGGAAAGGGCTAAATGGTAAATATTGTTGGCTCTTTAGGCAGTATGATCTCTACTGTAACTACTCGATTTAATCTTTGTGGTGTGAAAGAAGACACAGACAATACAGAAATGAACAAGTGTAGCTGTTTACCTATAAAACTATAAACAAGCAAAACTAGACCAACAGAGTTTGCTACCATGAATCAGAAAATCATAGCCTGAATTTTCAAAAAGTTCAATTATAGTCTTTTCATGATGTTTGGAGAGTATATTTTAATATTTATGTTTATAAAGAAACTAAGTGAAGAAGACTGTTTTTTCAACGTCAGCTGTTGAAAATTCTACTGGTATGCTTCTCTCTGGCTGGTAACCTATATTAAATCTTTGACAACTTTACATGTTGTTCCTCAGGATCATCAATTTTAACATTAATCTCTACTATGGGATACTGAAGAAAATGACGAACAAGAGACTGGTTTACGAAAATAAATGACCCTGGGTCATATCCTGAAAACGGTTTGATTTCTTTAAATAACCTGATATAAACTTGCTTTGTAAGCACCTACAACTCAGGACAAGACAAAGGAAGATTCTAGTTAGTAAAGAATTCCCTAGTGAACTGAGGATTTAGTAGAGTTACATCACTTCTAAAGATTTTTAGTTTTAAAAACCCACAGAAATAGAAGGAAAAGGAACACAAAGTGATCATCTTAAAAAAAAAAAAACATAAAACATACGTTGGATGCTGCATCATCCTCCTTCTTTGAACTTCCATTCTCTGCATCACTTCATGAGGATGCAGTCTCTGTGCTGGAGGTGCCGTGGCTGGAATATGGTGTGAAATTGGCTGGTGTGTGGGAGGAAGATGCTGAGGGATTGGTGCGGCTGTACTGGCTAAATGAGTTGGGGGTGGGGGTGCCACGGGGTGAGATGTTGCATGAGAAGATATCTGAGAATGGAAAGCATGTACAGGATGAGGAATAACATAATCCACTTGAGGTGGAGGCTGAGTCTGAGGAGGAGGGTTTCCATGAGAATGGGGACAGGCAGAGGCTTGATGATGAAGTGGTCTTGTCAAAGAAGCATCTGTAAAAAAAAATACGGACACCACGCAATTGAGCATATATTGCTGTTATACATTCCTTTTGTCTTTTACAAACATATTAGTACACATTTAATTTTTATGAATACTTTATTAAGGCTTGAGTCTGCTCAATTCTGCTTTGCAACCTGCTTTCTTCTTTGAATAATCTTAGATATCTTCTCATGTCAATATATATAGTTTTACTTCATTCACAGCTTCGCAGCATTCTATTAATGTACCAAAATTTATTAAAGAAATCACCACTGATAAAATTGGGAAACAACCCAAATGCTGCACTAAACACCTGTGTGTATGAAGCCTCTTGTGCTCTTTCACACATACATGCATATGAGTGCGCGCACACATGCACTACTCATGGACAGCTTCTGCGACATAAATTCTATAAGGAATTCTTAGTCGGAGAAAATCACTTAAACTCAGATACCAGGTGACAAAATACCCTTCCCAAAAGGTTACCATAATTAATGTTTCCGTGAACAGTATACAGGAGTGCCTGATTACCCCTAATTACTAAACTTATTAAATGCCAATCTAAGAAAAATCTTGTATTTATTAACCACTCATACTTCTTCCCAGAATTACCTATTCATATTCTTAGGCTATTGTTCACCTTTTTTCTCATTGGTCTGTAAGTATTCTTTGTATACATGGAAGGTTTGTCATAAGGTATAAACACTTTTCCAAATTGTCTTTTATTAATTTTATTTTACCATATGCAAGTTTTCTGCTTTTGTGAAGTCAAATGTAGAAGTTATACTTTTATAAATACATAAATCTTGCTTTCCTTCATGATTACTGGTTACAGAGCACTATAGAGAAGAAAGGAACTCATGAGTTCTTCTGGGCAAGACTGCAAAGATATTCCTTTCATGCTGCTCTTCTCTCTTCCTGCCCCACGCCTTTTTTTCCTGTGCTACATTTAAGATGATGAAGGGACATATTTGCCAAGAACCTGAAATGGAAACCAGCCTTAATAAAAATGGCTTCCCCCATTTCTTCATTCTTTATGTTTCAAAGTGGCTGTTGAAAAATCCCTCTGAGGAATACATATCTCCCTTACTCTAAGAGACATGCATCTGTTTGAGGTTTAAAAATATGTTTGTCTCCTCCTTGGATTTCAGTCCCAATTTCACTGTATTTGTAAGACCTTCTTGGAATCTGATATTGAGGTATGGCCATTCTCTACTTTCATGACAGAAGAGTTTCCTTCAATTTTAATCACTTCTTATTCAGCAGGGGTGAAAGTTAGGTAACCATGAACTCATTCAGCCAAATTTTCAAAGGACACCTTGCTAGCATGTATTTAAAGAAGCTTTCATTAAGCTCAATATAAACTCTGAGACAAAATTTTTAAGTGATTTTCTAAATGTCACGTTTTCAAATCAAGGCTTTACTCCAAGAAAACTCAGTACTTGGTCATAAAAAAAGAAGTCATTATGTTTTACCATTGTTAACTATCCTTCCTCAAATTCAAGAGTATTTTTTCCAGTTTCAATTCAAAGTTTTCATTACTATAATCATTATACAAGAAATAATATTGACAAATACTATAAAATTTTTAAGTTTTGTTTCAGAATGAATCAATTTATTTAAGTTTAACTCTTCAGCATTTTTTCAGCTTTATTGAGGTATAATTAACAAATACAATTATATATATTTGAAGTGTACAAGATGATTTGAAATACATATACTTTGTGAAATGATTACTACAATCAGGTTCATTAACACATCCATTACCTCACACAGTTATGATTTTTTGTGTGTGTGGTGAAAAGTTCAGCCATTGTTATAATTCACTGTATAGTCTAAACAAAATAGATTGCTAACCACTGTAGAAAGGTGACATTCTGCATTCCCACAGACCATCTCCCTTCCTTCTCTATTTTATATGTTCTTGCCAGTAAAAAAAAAAAAAAGAAAGAAAAAAAAAGTTCTTGATATTGGTTCCTAAAAGTTCAACATGTCACGTTGACCCAGCAATCTCACTCTAACAACTTACTCAAGAGCAGACTAAGAAACTACAATATAACCATCAACAGAGAACTGATTTAATATACAGTGGAATATTATGAGGATACTGAGAACAGCAACCTAGATTTTTATGGCTAATATGGAAAAAATCTAAGATATACTGTTAACATTTTTTTAAAAAAGAAAAAACTCAAAGAGGCAAATAATATGCTTGTTATGATCCACTGTTTTAAAAGGAGAGACATATATATACTTTTGTGTGTACAAAGAAAACTTCTGGAAGGTTTTATAAGCTACAGTTACTACCTTCAAGGTATTAAGATCAGTGGGATGTGAGGGAAGGGCTTTTAACTTCTCATCTTATGTCATTCTACAGTTTGAACTTTTTTACAATGTACACAAGTTACTTTAATAATAAAAGTAAAACAAGTTTAAATCATAAAACACTTCTTTATTAAGGCATTTAAAAAGAAATGCACTCACTTATAAACTGCTTCAATATATTATGGGGGGGAGGCAAAAAACCACACATTTTGAGTTCCTAATAAAAGACAATCAATTAAAGATCACTATCAATAGCTATCACAAAACAGCCTGTACAGCAGAATTTGCCCATTGGTCAATGCTTTGCAAAAACTGTTCCAAAACCTGTTTTCTAACTTATACTTTATATCTTAAGTTGTATTATTGAAAAGGTAAATGATATTATCCCAAGGTTTCACTGTACACATTCTGGGTTGACTCCAGCTATATCTGCAAGACCCAGATTTTTTAAATTCTAGGGATGGAAAGAAATCTAATGAGATATTATATAACTGAAAATTATCCCTTGCATGCAATCAGAAAAAAAGCAAATGTCCTTGCCAACCTCCTAGTGTACTCCTGGTATGAATTTTCAGTGATGAAAACATCACAGTATTAATTAAGTTTCTCATTTGATTATTAGCCTATAATGTAACAAAGTAGTAAATATGTATTACACAGCCTAAGAGCACTTCTCACTTCTTATGATACTCACAGATCTCACAGATTTCAATTTCTTTAGAAAAACCATGTCTGACTTTAATTGCCTGCATCAAAATGAAGAGATAAACCTTTTCGCAATCAGCCAAGCTTTCTGCGCATACCTCATGCCTTTCTCTCGTATGCTTCAGCTGACCTTCAGAATCCTTGGTCAAAATTTACTTTCTTGTGCCTAACAATGACTACTAAACTTTCAAACTGTCTGTTACTCCTAAAGGATAAATCTCAATCCCTTAGGGTTTTCTTTTATAGGAATCTAAGGTGCCATTCAATGTAGTTCAAGTTCATATATTAAAATATAAAAGAGACAAAATATAATACTTTTTATTTCCCTGACCTTTTTAAACAACATCTGTCTTTTCTACCTTAGAAGATTGTTTTGGGAATGTGGGGTGAGGAGAGGACAAAATGGAAAAAATATACCCCACTCTTAGGCCAAGGAAATACTAAAAATTTATGAATCAGGATTATTGAAAGGTTATTTCATGGAGGAATGTACAATGCCTCTAAGTTCTCTGCCTGTTAAATTTATACTTACAAGGAGGTGGCATATAATGTCGACATGATGACAGTGAGGCTTGTGGAGGGGGCTGGGGCTGGGGCTGCGCAACCATGCTTGATCCAAAACCATCTATTGATAATGGCTGACTCGGGGCGGCAGCAGCAGCCTGATGGCCAAAGATTGCAGCTCGGGAAGAAGAAACAGGGCAGCAGGGGTCAAATGCAGATGCTCCGTGAAAACCACCACTTCCATGACTTCTGATACCATTGTTGCTCAGGTCTACTGGCAATGCCTGCTGTATAAAGAGGAACTATAAATCTTTCTAAAGTTTGGTCAAAACACCGTTTCATGTTATATTAGAAAAGTACTCCGGGCGCCTGGGTGGCTCAGTTGGTTAAGCGACTGCCTTCGGCTCAGGTCATGATCCTGGAGTCCCGGGATCGAGTCCCGCATCGGGCTCCCTGCTCAGCAGGGAGTCTGCTTCTCCCTCTGACCCTCTTCCTTCTCGTGCTCTCTATCTCTCATTCTCTCTCTCTCAAATAAATAAATAAAATCTTAAAAAAAAAAAAAGAAAAGTACTCCAATTGCAATCTAGAAAAATATAATCTCTAAATTAAAATTTAAAAAATAGTGAAATTTTTAGTATGAAGACCTATTCAGCACCAAAAAAATACTATGTGTATCTTGGATTATAAGAATTGTAGTGATTATATATTTAAAATCTATAATCAGTTTTTAAAAATCAAGCATAAAATCATGCTACAAGATGAACAAAAGTTAATTTATATATTATTTCAAGGTCTATTTCTCTTTCATTATCTAGATCTTAGGGAGAAAGAAACTTCCAAATCAGAGTTCCATATTCTTCTTTACCCCCAAATTTTATTAATTTAGGACTCCTTTGGAAAACACACAGTCAAACCACTGAAAAGATTAGGATTCTAGGTAAAAACTTCCTGTCCTGTTTCTAAACTGTATTCAGCAAGCATTCAACTGAAACTCTAACAATACAGACATTATCCAAGATAGCAAACAGTGTATCATTATTCAAGATGAAGCATGAGCTAGCTTTGCCTCCTAACCTTTGCATTTACA